TGTGCTATGTTATGCTGTTTCATTTAAAACTGTATCTTTTTTTAGTTAATAAATTCCTTGTAAATCAGGAATTGCTATAATATTTTAACTACAATTTAYATATCAAAATTATAAGTAGGGATATATAGTTTGGTTTATAAGAAATAAGATTTAAATTTCAAAGAGTTTCTTACTTAAAATAGTATGCGCTATATTATACGTACCTACTTAGTACTTATCTATATTATCTATATCTATACATAATACATATACGTATATTATATAATATTATCATAATATCATTCTATGTATTGAAATTATAGTTAACAAAATGTATACATTATATCCATTTAAATCGTTACAAATCAGCAACGTATTTAGGAATTTTGCTGGGGGAGGGGGGTGGATGAAAATTATAATAATTAATAATACACCCATAAGGCCATAAATGCGTACATTATATAAATTCATAAAATTCTCTAACTTGTTACCTATTACGGTTTAGTGTCGATCAAGATGAAATAAGAATTAACGAAAATTGTATAGTACTTGCCTAATAATTATTAGCATTTAATATTATATTTATTATAAATCCATTCTAATTATTAGCGCCAATCGTGTGTTTAATACAATAACCGAAAAAAATAATTATAATACAAAATCCACTTTTCTATTTTTTCTAATGTTCAGTTCATCAATAACCTCATCTGGCATGATTTGTATCGATTAAATTACTAATTTACGTATAATTATATTTCAATATTAAACAGAAAAATCGATAAAATATTTACTTCTGTCATACTATTTTTTAAGTAGGGCTTAATCCTCTTTAAACTTAAAAAACGTCGTTCAGGCGAAGCAGTTGATACAGGCAAAGTACAAAATATTTTCAAGAGTTCGTGAATATTTGGATAAAAGTCTTTATCACAAACATCTAAAGCATGTAACYCAGAGGTGAATACAATTTTTTCAGTCACTAACTTTACTCTCCACATTTTCAGCTCAGTGATGCTAGATTGTTGGTCAATTGTTGATGAATAAAACTCAACTCCAAAAGATTTGGATTATCTCTCAATGTTTGTTTTGAAATGACTTTTTTTTWAAATTAAATACCAACATTATCTGCAGCCATCTAGAAGATAAATATTAAACATTTTGAAATTTGAACACAATGAACATATTAAATCATTTTTTTAAATAGTTTACTTTAATATTTTTGTAGATTTCRCTAAATTTGGTTTGGTAATTGTCTCTAATAACTTTTAGAGTGTTGACTACATTTTCAACTATATCTATAAATTTTTTTAAAAATCTATTTGAATTTTTTGTGACTGCTTACAGAGAGGAAGACAAAAAGAAAATAGAAACTGAAAAAACTTTAAATTATAAACACTCTTGCATGAAAAATAATTTGCAGAAACAAAATACAGTACACCATATAATATTATATAAGTCTCCAGTGGTGCCGAATTGCTAAAAATCTAGTTGGGCGAAAAATATTTCAAGAGGCATCTTAATATCGGAAAAAATGGCATACCGTGGAGTGGAAGATGGTCCATATGAAGCGGCCCTATCTTGAATTTTCAAAATATGTCGGGCCATGGCCCGACCTTAACATAGGGTTCCACTGGTATAAGTATATGTTTTTGTTTGCCCGATAGACTTATAGGCCACCAACGATTAGTAGCGATTAGTATATCAGAGCGGTACAATCAGTGCAGGCCCAAGATACGGATGAACCGSGTGGTTGCCGGTAGCACTACTTTTTTAGGGGTGCTTTTAATATACGAGAATTTTATAATTTTTGCGTAATATTTATTCAAATTGACAATAATATAGCTAAATTACTAAATTATCTATGACAGAATATTCTGTTACATATTTTTTTTTATAGATTTTAGTGATTTTACTCCTCTTTCCAATTTTTATTATTATATTACAAATAATTAAAAAATAATATACAATGATATATAATCATTAACTCGGGAAAACCAAAAAAAGTATGTGTTACAGCCGATACGTCTATAAATTGTATCCAAATAAGTTTTGCAATCCTTTACCTACCCATAAATATAAGAATTTTAAACAAAATATGTATAAGTATAAAAAGTATTAAATGTATTATGGAGCATTTGATTAAGGGCGCCTTTCAAAAAATTGCCCAGGGCGTCAAAATACCTTGGGCCGGCCCTGGATACAATAACCATGACTAGAACATTTAGAAAGCAGACATACTTAAAAGTAATATCATATTTGAGAAATAGGTACAGGTAATGAGACAACTTAACTACCTATAAAAAAAAGGTCAAGGAGAGGGTCTATCCCTCATATCCCCTCCATAAATACGCCACTATTACAAATTGTAATCATGCGCTCGGGG